ATTTTCCTGGAAAAGTTCCAATTTTCCTAGGGAAATTCTGGATTAGTGAAGGTATTAAGTCGGGCTCTACCCTTATCGGAAAGATCTCCGCCTTTTCTATGTTAATTTTAGCCAGAGCATTCTTGAAGAACTTTAGTATTTTTTTGAAATTCTTTAACTCAGAACGCTCGGGTTTGCAAATATGGCTGCATCGTCCGCATACAAAGAGCATCGCAAGTTTGCGGCCTTGGGCAAAACCGGGTGTAGAATACCCTGCTGAGCTGCATGTTCGATCATACGTTGTAACGGGTCTATGGCGATGATGAACAATAAAGGTGACAATGGATCGCCCTGCCTGAGACCTCTCGCGTGAGGAATATTTTGAGTCGGTCTACCATTAATGAGAATTTTGGATGATGAAGTGCCGAGAATTGCTGATATCCGGTTGTGCTACTTCCTGCTAAAACCGAGTGCTTTAAGCACCTCAAGGAGATAGGGCCATTCTATTGAGTCGAAAGCTTTCGAAATGTCCAATTCGATAAACAAAGCTGGCTTCTTGTTCTTGTGTAGGAGCTGGATGACCCTTTGTACATAAATGAAATTATAGTGAATACACCTTTTCCTGATGAAAGAATTTTGGGCATGCGACACCAACTCATTCAAGTGTGGCGCCAATTTGTTCGCCAGCATCTTAGTGATTATTTTAACCATGATGTTGATGAGACTTATTGTTCTATATTCATTTAAAGTCCTTGTATTTTATTTTTTCGACAGCAATACAATATTGGCCTCGTTGAACAAACTCATCTTAGCATTTCTGTGGTTATAGAAACCAAGTATTGCTGCGTAAAGATCGTCTTTGATTATTTCCCAGCATTTTTTATAGAAAACTGCAATGAAGCCGTCCGGGCCCGAAGCTTTTTCCGGCGGTAATTCCCTGATTGTGTTGAGCAATTCCTCTTCTGTGAATGGCGTGTCTAAATCATCGAGGTTGTGCGGGGAATAGCCTAGCTGCTCCCAATTGATAGCCCGACCTCTCGGCATTTTACTACCAACAGCATTGGAAAAGAACTCTAGTGCAGCTTTAGATTTGTCTTGCTGAGTGACGGTGAGCCCCTCGTCACTTTGGATTGTGCTAATATAATTTTTCTTACGAAGAAGTTGTTATTAATTTGTCATGCATGACAACTGCAGTACATTTGTTCTGTTGCTTCCACTAATACACAGTATACGAGTAGTGTACTCTAAGTAAGCAAATGATATTTTGATATAAAAAAAAGTAAGCAATGATATAGGCGGCGTGAAGCACACATTTGGATTGACCAAGCAATTGGTTTTGGACCGACTGGAGCTGACCAACTGAGCTGCTGCTACGTGACAGCCAACCTTGTTGATTCCATCGGCAGCCCGTGACCTGGTTGTGACTCGTGAGCCAATGAAAGAACAAACTGTGAGAGTTCCCTTTCAGAGTTCCTCCTCGAATGAGGGCAAAGAGTTGACGTGAACTTGAGTTTCCTTTCCTTTTCGTGGCAGTTATCGGTTCAGCACGTGTATACTAGCTATATAAAGATTTAGAGCAATTCCAAGAATCTCCCTCAACTTGAATTTTTATATCTTTATTTAGAGAGTCATTTTATGAATATACTCTTTATATACATATATCTCTTCCAGAGTCTCTATACTCCAATAATTTATCTTATTTTTTCTTGTGTGGAAAATTCATGAGAGAACTGAAGGCGTATTTGGATCACCGGACTAAAGTTTAGTCCGTCATGAGATAATAGGCTAAACATGGACTAATAAAAAATTCTAATGAGTTCTAGCCATCAATTGACCTCTATTAGTTCTTATTCGTACATAATTAGATTATATCTACTCCTTCAATTTAGCATCCAAAACTGGAACTAAAGTTTAGTTTAGATGATCCAAACATCCCAGCGCTAGCCCCTAACATATATTGAATTCAAAGAGCTATGTAGCCTATTGATTAACAGAGAGCAAGAAGGGCGGTTTTAAAGAACGGAAAAGGGATAAGTAGTGGCTTAGAGAATCTATTGGGGCCTAATTTTTTGTTTTACTTTCTAAATTTGGTGATAAAGTGTCTTGTCTCTTGGAGATGCTCTTATCATGTGCCACCACCAACAAGACGTTGCGGTGGTTTGTTGTCATCAATTCCCACTGGTATGTTGTGTTCATAGGTCAAGTATATATCAGTATAGGACATTTTAAAAAAAATAAGCTACCATGTATACTCCGTTATTTGTGTGAGTACACGTTGCAAAAAGATAATTTACATGTTTCGACCCCAATGCAGTTAGGGGATTCTAACTAACATGTGGTAAAACTAGTATGTTGTATCAATTCCTGAAAGAATGTTTGTTTTGTTTCTGCAGGCTGTATGGGCCTTGATCGGCGGCTGGTGGTAGTGGGCAACCAGCTCAATGATGAAGGGCCCTGCTTTAGTTGCCACTTATTAGAAATGCATACAGAGGCCCGCTTGGTTTAGTGAGTGTGCATGAGTGCGTTGCACTGTGTTATTCGTGAAAAAATAGTAATGTATATATGGATTTCATCTCGTTGGTTTGTTAGAAATATGTTGTACTAATGGGGTGTTACAGTGGACTGTGTTGTAATTAGCAGTATAGGGTTAGATGGGATAGGTGTTGGCTCTTATAACCTGGCCCCTCTATAAAAGGATGAGGGGGCTGCACTTGTAACCCACTCCAGTCATGAGAGTGAGAAGCAACACAGAGCGACAGACTCACGGGCAGTGCTGGCGGCTTTGGCCAGCGCCCCAGGCGGCCGGTGTCATGGTTTTGGGGAGATATGCCGGTAAGCATGCTTCGGGGACATAGGCCGAACCTCGTTACCAAATATCGAATCTCTTGTGCGGTGTGTGCGATCTCTCGTGAGAGTAGATACTATGAGACCTTACAGAGTGTGCAAACAGGCTTCGGCCCTGCTTTAGTTGCCGGTGTATGTATTCGTTCTTTTATGTTGAAGGGAAACTAATCAGAGATTACATTCGTGGCTTTTACATGTATTATACTTAACTGAGACCTTACAGAGTGTGCAAACAGGTAGAGCTCCAGTAAGTATGTAGGCCTATATGAAGTAATAGGGTAAAATACAACTAATCTAGTATGAATAAGGGGGTGTTTGATTTAGCCAGGAGCTCATAAATCTAGTCTCATTTAGTCACTTTTTACCTAAACACTGACTAAATGAGACTAAAAGGGCTTTAGTCTTCTTTAGCAACTCTGGAGTGACTAAATGAGACTAAACCATTTAGGAGGGACTAAATTTAGCGGCTGCCATCCAAACAGGGCCATGAAATAAGATTTTGCAGCGAGGCCCTGGTCCATCTCGTTTGTGCCGACGGTGATCAAATTGTTGCCCCAAACGCCTACTACCAGCTGAGCGGAATGTACATGCCGTGGTTGAAGCTAATCATATGTGAAAATGCATTGATGTGGAAAAAGGGGCAATCTAGAGAAGACACAAAGCATGTGAAATCCTTAAATGAGGACGCCCGACACTATGGACTTAACCTGAAATAGCAAAAGCTGCATTAGAGATTAAATAATTACAGGTAGCTGAAGCTATAGAGAATAGAGGGTGATGAGAATACTTACCCAGGTCGAGACATATACTACGAACATCATGGGCCTGAGTAAGTTGTCTTTCTGAACTGAGCAAGTAATTTTTGCATTGGTTTGGGGCCATGTAGAACTGCCCAAAGGCATTTAGCTATCAACGAATTAGAGTTCAGTAAGAATACCAGCTAAAAGTGTATGTCGATACATTAAAGACGTAACTATATACCTATTGTATCTTCAAAGCAAAGGTTATGAAGCTGGGCACCAAAAGGCAAACGCCGTTTTTTAGATAGCATGAGCCAAATACATCAAGAGTGGATAGGGTGGGGAGGAATGGAGAGAGAGAGAGAGAGAGAGAGAGAGAGAGAGAGAGAGAGCACGCTCAGGTGAAAAGAGGACAGGGAGAAAGAAGAAAGGTCGGGGACTGGACAGGCGCACCGTAGCTTCTGAGTCCGAAGCTCGGCACCAAGATCCACGGCGTTGAGCTCTGACCAAGTCCTCCCGCCACGACACCTAGATCTCGAGCTCGGCACGATGGCCTATGACAGTGAGACGTCTTACCTTAGCGCCATAACCTTTGAAGCCAATTCCTGGGGTCTAAATTCGAAAATAGATCTCTAGAGATATAGATGTAAATATTTTTCAAAAAAGGGTTACAAAACAAAAAAGTAGATCTTACCAGATAATTGATCCTTACCTAGAGGTCTAAAATTGAACACCGGATGATGTTGCCTGGCCCAGATAACACCAACTGCGCGGACCAGCACGCAACACATGGAGTAGGCGCATGCAGTATGTAACGTGCTGAAATGCACCCAGAGACGAGTGAACTTGGCACACGGTTCAACCGTGGCTGTTTCCCTAATTTCCTCCCCAACTGTGGATGTGAAGCAAGAATTCTACTGTGATTGTTTGCATGCAGTTTGGCTTTCCCTGAAGAAAAAGAAACCGAGACCAGCATGGTCCAAGCTGGTGAGGCACTCTGCAGGCACGGTCATTCCGATCCGGCGGCGATCGCAGTAGTGTGGTTTTGGTGCATAGCAATACGGAGTATGCCCGTTGGTTTCGTTGTTATCCGTGGCAAATAAAAACAGATAGGGACACAGTAATAACAGTATATCTCCTCGATCTGGTCGCCACCAATTCCGGCTCCAACCTTATTTCACACGTGCTCATTTGCCTTTCTGTGTGTCATCACGTCGGTCGGGCTCAAATTAAGCATCCTCCTCCTCATCTCATCTGATTATATATTGCTCGTCTCATTTTTTGCGTCTCTCTGCTGTAGTGCTGTGTGTGTGTTTGCCCATGCATATCGAACCATCTCTATACATCTCCAACAACCGTACCGCCTTGGCGTGTACCGCCGGCTAGTCGTCGTGCGTGGGATCCGATCCTCGCCGTCGGCCGCTGCTCACGACCAAGATGGCCAGCTCCTCCGGCGACCTCACCAACGGCGGCGGCGGCGGCGGCGGATATATGGTACACAGCGGCAGCGGCGCCACCGCCAGCGCCCCGACGACGACGACGAAGACGAAGCCTCTGACCATGTTCTACAACGGCGGCGTCGCCGTGTTCCATCTCCCGCAAGACAAGGTTTTGCCTCGTTTAGTCGTTTTCGATCTCATGCCTTGTCGTCGTGCCTATGCACGTGTATATGCTGATAATAATATGCATGCGGCCATGACGACAGGCGGAGGTTGTCATGAACATGGCGGCGGGTGAGGACGGCAGAGACGACGACGGCGGCCGCCAGCGGCGGCCAAACCACGGCGACGAGTTGCTCGCCAAGTTCAGGCAAGGTATAGTACTACTAGGCCATTAATCAACTCTGTTAAGATGTCTACAGTTTTTTTTTTTTTGTAACCAAATAAATCTGTCACTCTTAACCATCCTGTATTGGGTTATCGTGGAATATATAATCCATCTTTGCTATGTTTACATTTATCTGAAAAACTGAAACAAAAAGAGTAAATGATCTTTATAGTAACTGCTATAAACAACTAAAGTTACATCATTTTTTGACAAAAAAAAAGATTTTTGGACAGATTAAGAATATCCTCATCTCCTTTTTTTTCTGGAGGATATCTTCTTGATTTGACAATTATCCTTTGCATGCATCCGTGATTAGCTTCCGCATTAAAAGACAACGTCCCATTTTTTTTAGAAGGTTGTTTTTTCTAGGATATGTAAACCTCAGGAAATTATTTATTTTGTGACCGAGGCCGAAGCAGAGTATATAAGGGGTGTCTGGTTCACCTCATAAACTTTAGTCGCTGTCCCATCGGATGTTTATATACATGCATGGAGTATTAAATATAGACTATTTATGAAACTAAATGCACAGATTGAGACTGTTTTGTGAGACGAATTTTTTAAGCCTAATTAGTTCATGATTTGATAATATGGTGCTACGGTAAACATGTGCTAATGACAAATTAATTAGGCTTAGTAAATTCATCTCGCGGATTACTGACGGGTTTTATAATTTATTTTTTTATTAGTATCCAAACACCCTATGCAATACCCCCATGTAACACCATCTAAACTTTAATCCCTGAATCTAAACTTTAGTCCCTGAATCTAAATACCCCCTCGTACACCGCATTTCTACCTATGTCATACATGTGCATGCTTTGTTGTGTTGCGCACGCAGAGACGATGCCCACGGCAAGCAAGAGATCTTTGCAGCGCTTCTTCCAGAAGCGCAAGGAGAGGTACGCACGCATGCACCACATTTATGACAACTGTAGTATATTTGTTTTGTTGCTTCTAGTAGTGCAATTCTATAAAATAAAATTAGCTAAATTAAGAAAATGTAGCTCGGAACAATTAATTCTAAAAGTTGACAAAGAACTAGTATTTTTTTAACCTAAAAAAAGAACTAGTATTTTTTTCAAGGAAACAAACGACAAGTTGTTACCAATTTTTCATGTGTGTGACAACTGCAGTACATTTGTTTTCTTGCTTCTAGTAGCAGTACCGGTAGAATACTAGAGTGCTACATATAGGCGGCGTGAAGCACGTTTGGATTGACCAAAACGATTGGTTTTCGACCGAACCGGAGCTGACGAGCTGAGCTGCTACGTGACAGCCAGCCTTGTTTATCCCATCGGCGCCCCCGTGACCCGGTCGTGACTCGTGAGCCAATGCAACAACAAACTGTGGATCGATGTGTATGCTTGCTTGTAGTCAAACCGCGGCACGGCTCCGTTTCAGTTCCTCCTCGCATGAGGGCGAGAGTTCGTTGTGTTTGACGTGGACTCTTGACATTTCTTTTTTTCTTTTCGTTGCAGTTATCGATCGGTTCTGCATGTATCTAGATAGACTTTGAGCAACTTCATGAATATTCTCTTTACACTCTTTCTAGATAAATCAATTTCTATAGTGGTATTAGGTCAAACTTTTTTCAAGTTTGAACATTATTATAGAAAAAAACATCAAGATTTATGAAATTAAATTAGTATAATTAGATACACCATAAAATATATTTTTTTTATAATTTTCTCATTTGGTGTCATAATTATTTATGTGTTTTTCTATAAATCTGGTCAAACAAAAAAAAATTGAATTAAGACAATTATAAGAATTGATTTATTCAGTGACGGAGGGACTATACTCCAACGACTTATCATATTTTTCCTTGTGTGAAAAAATTTCATGAAAGAACTAACGTATATTGAATTTAAAGTGTGATGCCCTCTTTATTAATAGTGAGCGAGAATGGTAGTTTTGAAGAGTGGAAAGATAGGAAATGGTTTTGAGAATCTATTTTGAGCCTCATTTTTTATTTGTTTTCTAGATTTTATGATAAATTGTCATGAGTTTTTTTTGGTGATGCTCTTATCACTCGGACACTCGCCGAAGAACGTTAGACGAACCAACCAGTTTTAAATTCTCTAACTCAGCCTAGGTGGCGGTCGTATTTTCAGCTACTTGTTCTTTTTTTTTTTTCTATAGAGATCATGTGCAATCACCAACAAAACGTTGCGGTGGTTTGTCTTCATCAATGTCCGCTGTACTGCTGGTATGGTACATTGTGTTAATAGGTCAAGTGTCGGTATATGAAGTGTCTAAGCTAAAGATATATACGCTGATCGGTTGTTTGTGCGAGAAATATAAGTTACATGTTGAAAAAGATAATTTATATGTTTTGACCAGAATGCAGTTATGGGATTAATTATAACGAACATGTGTGTAAAACTAGTATACTAACAATCTCCATTCCTTATTTTTTGATCAAAACAATCTCCATTCCTGAAAGAATGCGGTTCTAGTCGTGTCGCTCTCAAGTTCATGGAGCATGTTGTTTCGTTTCTGCAGGCTGTATGGGCCTTGATCATCGCGGCTGATGGTAGTGGGCAACCAACTCATGATGAAGACGAGGAAGGGCCCATTTTGTTTCGTTACCATTCCACTTAGAAATGTATATGGAGGCCCGCTTGCTTCAGTTACCAGTTATAGTAATGTACAGTAGTACATGTGGATTCCGTTTTGTTCCCCTAAAAAAAATTATGGATTCCGTTTTGTTGATCTTATTCCCTCCATCCACGACTTTTGCCGTTTAAAGTGTATCCACAAATATTAAGATGAATATTCACCATTAGACATGCTGCTAGTGGACGTAGGCTGTCCAAAACAAGCCACACCTAAACTACGGCTTGCCTAAGCTGTGGCGAATTGTGAAAATTTTGCATTTTGGCCCTTTCTAAAAACTATTTTTATAAATAGACTCCTTTAGAAAAATTTTTAAATAGACCAAAAGCTCGGCATTAAATATAAAAATTCCTAGATCTTTGTGTCAGTGTCAGAATGCTGAGCTTTTGGTTTATTTTTAAAATATTAACGCTGAGCTTTTGGTCTATTTTTTGAAAAAAGTTTCTAAATGAGTCTATTTATATAAATAATTTTTAGAAAGGGCTAAAATGCAAAATTTTCACCGGTGAATTATGGCGCTTAAATCATGCGCCAAACATTTGGCGAGCTACGGCCGCCACGAACACTTTGCCAGAGCTTAGTTAGCAAGCAAACGTGAGCCTGAGTAAGCCGTAGTTTAGGCGTGGCGACTCGTGGCAAGCTGTGGACACCAACCAAATAGAGCCTTAAGTTTGTCTTGTGTTTATGCCAAGGACCATGCGCCTAGTGTTGTCTCTTTAGCAGCGTGTTTGGCACGGCTCCATGTACGCTACTTCATCTAAACCCTAGCCACTGGCCTTCCATGTTCGGCATTCCCTCATCCCGCTGGCGCCAGCACCGCTGCTGCTCTTGAACAAGATTAATTACAAGAGTGGCGACACGAGCATGATGCCGCTGACTGCGCCTGCCACGGGTGAGACACGGAGCTGGTTGTTGCTTTCGGCCCTGTTTAGTTGCACCCAAAATACCAAATTTTTCAAGATTCACCGTCACATCGAATCTTTAGACGCATGCATGAAGCATTAAATATAAATAAAAAATAAAACTAATTACACAGTTTAGACGAAATCCACGAGACGAATCTTTTAAGCCTAATTAGATTATGATTGAACACTAATTGTCAAATAACAATAAAAACGCTGCAGTAGCGTTTTGCTAAAAATTTTGACATCAAGCTGGGCCTTCGTTCGTGCCCACATGGACCACGACACGGACGTTGTTTTGTGCTCTTGCGCAGGTCGAGGCCACTGAGCACCTTAGGCAACTACGTCCGTTGGCGTCACCTTTTTCTCCTCACTCTTAACACTACTTGCTCTCGAACCACATCCTCGTTAATGACCCTGATCCCATGTTTCCTGATTGGAGAAAAGACTCTCCTGAATCTTTGGGATCATCTCCGTCAGCCTCGAGGAGACCGTCACGAAGGGCCACACCACCAGCCTGTTCATTTCCAGGCTGGTTTGGTATGAGAGAAAAATATTATTATAACTTATAATCAACGATCGTTTACGACCAAACGAACAGGCTGCACGTCCCTTGTTTGGAGAAACGTTTTTTTCCCTTGACATCAACTTCCACAACTTTGTAAAAGAAGAATTTATATGTCTAGTTAAAATCAAACTGTTCAACTTTAAGCAAATTTGTAGAAAAATATATCCATATTTATGATAATAAGTTGGTAACATTTTTCAATTTATCATGTAATATAATTTCTAATATATCTATTTATTATCTAAAAAAATAATACATCTATGTTTTAATAATTATTGATACTTTTCTCTATAAGCTCAGTCAGATTTACGATAATTTTACTTCGAAAAAATGTTGAAGTTACGTGAGGCTATACGTGCCTGCCGCACAGACACCACAACAAACACGACATGGTGCATGCGCTCGGTAAGGTATGTGCCTATATGGTCTTTTTTTCGACTTAGGCTTGTATCTAGTTGAGCTAAGCTCGTTTTCTGAATTTCCGATCTGATAGATTTCGACAGGCTTAACAACTTAATTTTATCATAGTACTCTCTTCATTCTAAATTATAAGACGTTTTGGCTTTTCTAGATTCATAGCTTTTGCTATGCACCTAAATATATGTTATGTCTAGATACATAATAAAAACTATGAATCTATAAATGTCAAAACGTCTTATAATTTAGAACAGAGAAAATATTATTTATATGTGAATTAATCCATGATGTCTCTGCTTAATTACTTAGCGTTCAATGCAACACACAGAAGAAGACAAAAAGAATGTGAAGGAAGATGTATTTGCACAACAGCACAGTGCCTGTGTGTGACGTGGCAGTCAGTGGTATCTACCATTATCCTTACTAAGAATACCTCGCGTGTTGCTGCGGGAACTACTGATTTGAAATAAAATTTGAGATTAACTATTATAAACTAATGTTAGTGAATAGCATGGCATGCTGATGTGGACAACTAAATATATGTTAGTGAATGATGTGTCCCGCTGACGTAGATATCATAATTGCTTATACTAACACTTTGCATGCAAGTGTCAGTGGACTGCTAAGATGAACATCTTACATGTCAAGAAAAATTGCTAGTGGTGTTTTATTTGATAAGAGTATAGGATTCGTATGCTACATTTTCTGTTCCTTGGAGAGGCCACGTCGCCTGCTTTTCCTGTCCGTCTGATTCGCAATCAACGCCCAGCTAGCACAACGTCAGCTGCAGCAACCCTTCCAGCAGGTTCGTGCATCATCTAGCCCAGCCCCCAAGCTGGCACGAAGAGAGTAAAAAAGGGCCGCGCCGTCCGCACCATGGTTTAAAATAGCAGTCTACTGAAACAGTTCGTTCGTTCGTTGGTTCAGCCAGGCTTATTCGATCAGCTAACAGTGTTTTTTTCTCACAACAAACCAACACCAGCTAATCTAAATCAGTCTAAAAATCAACCAGCGAACACGTCGAAAATAGTGGCAACTTGTTTTTCAGCAGAATCTATAGTGACGCTATAGCTACGGAACGCCTGCTTTTTCTATGATCACTTGATCAGTAAAATGTTTTTCTATGATCAATAAAATGCTTTTTTGTACAATCAGTAAATCCATCACTCTATACCTGCTGAAACTATGCATGTCATCGTATGACCAAACTCAAGTCGATGTAACAATCAAACACATAACGTTGCCTACACGGAAAATTTTAGTGACACATCAACAAATAGCCACCGGATCCAGGTACTGCTGCGTACATGCATTTTTTTTACTGTCCCTTTTTTGCAGGCAGTGGCGGAACTAGGGGGTAAAAACACAATATTTTTTTAACTTATAAATATTTCAACTACACAGCCCCAAAAATAATTATTTCACCTATTTTTAATGATAACCTTGTGTATTTTTTTGCTATAAATACTAAATACATATACAAAAGTATTGAAAAAGCTATTGAAACATACACGTTGTATATATTTATTATATTTATGAGGTTTCGTCGTATTGCACGGCCCCCTTAATTAAAAGTCCCGGTTCTGCCTCTATTTCTAGGCTGTTGGTTTGTACAGTTGTTACGGAATGCAAGTAGCACACCCATGTCTATTCCACAGGTACTTGCGACTGTCACCACTCTCAAAGTTTTGAAGTCATATGTGTTCTTGATATTTACTCACAGCTAACGATATACTAACAATACACACCCAGACGCTCTAATTGAATATCCACACATACTGGTCACACCGGCTAAAATATACTATGCACTGCACAACTATGCAAAATGTCTTTCACATACTTACTTTTCATATGCACTTGTCGATTGAAAAAAGACCTCCACATCTCCACTCAGAGATTAGGTCTACTACCAAAATGGTTTTGCCCAGGTTCCAGTAAGGTTCAACCTTGAAACCCCCAGGTCTATTTTTTCGGTACACAGCACAATAATTTCATTTTTTATGATATTTAGGTTAGCACATATTTATATAGCTACCTCTTCAAAACCACACTCCAAACAAATGACCTCCACTTCTCGATCCCAAATCAGCTTACCTCACCTACAGATTTGTTTCTGCTGTTGTTTTATTTGTTCTCCTGCCTCCTCCGATTCCTCAAGAACATCTATTCCATCATTTGTTCTCTTTCTTGCTACAGTCTGTTCTTCATGCAGGTGTTCGGCGACCTCACAGACCATCGAAACTCACGTTGTTATGTCGTGGGCCTTGCAGAGACCCAAAGACCTCTGTTATGTAGCACCAGGTCCTTCATGCTTGCTGTATCTATCTATGATGATAACTTTTACAATTACCTAAAACTGTAGGTCCTACCGAATTAAGCATGACACCAATCCACAATGAGGTTGCCTTAGATGATGCACTTGGTGGCTCATGATTTTGCTGTGGCCTCACTGCTGATACATGTTTGTTACCATGCCTTTTCAGTTTTCATTATGTTCTGTGATACCATTTTTTTTTGTAAGTTACAATTTCAGAAACAATGACTTCATTCCAGCTTCATGATATATGCGGCTGCACATTTATGTACCTACAATTGTACAAAGTTGCCACTTGATACTTTCAGCCTTCCTCTAAAATTACAATATTGTCGTACGGCTATCAGTTCTTTTTAGAACCTATTTGAGGTATACCCTTTCTTCTTTACCTACTTATTGTACGTAGTTAACCTAATTTCATAAATGTTTTTATAATACACTGCAAACAGCAACTAGGTAAAACAAATCATGTACTGTGCCAATCACTACCTTTGCTTGACCCGCGGCAACGCGCGGGATATTAGCTAGTTACATTGTTTAGGCCACGCAGCGACATGCCACTGACCATGAGTAACTGGTGTGTCGCTGTAGTCACGTTAGGTACCTTTGTTTGTATGCTCATTTTTGGCGCAACAAAATATGAAAAAAATACTATGTTCACTTTATTTGTGTTAAGACCTCTCCAACAACAACACCCAAAATATAAGACACATTTAGCCTTTGGGTAGTGCTACAGTTAAAGGGTTCAATATATATTCGGCATCTTCTCCAACAGCAGGGTCAAAAAGAGAATCATTTCTACAAATAGGTTTCCAGGAGAGAGTATGCTCATATTTAGATTGTGTATATCAGGCAACTCAAAATAGATCTCCCGTATAGATAGTCTATTGGAGGCTGATTTTAGGTCTCTGTTACCCATTTTAGGTTTGGGTGTCCATATGGGCCTCTTGTTGGAGACAGTCTAAGCTAAACTTTAAAAGTTGAAAATTAATGCAATATCAAGATATGTTTCAATGATAATTTAATACATTCATTTGATGCAGTTTAAAATTTATCAAAATTAGATCATTTTTGTTTATTACAAAGCTAATTTTCCTAAATTTAGAATGGAGGGAATATGGTGAAAAAAATAGGATTATAAAGTGTATTGCAGTTTAGAATTGAGAAAATATGGTGGCGAAAAAATGGAATTCAAACCGCGTTCCCTTTTTCCGTTGTGGTATGGGTGGCTCACTATCCCTTGGTGCATTATCTCTATGGAAGTTTTTATTCTATCTATTTTAAATTATAAGTTGTTTTGATCTTTTAGATATTCAGTTTTTGTTATGTATCTTAGGAATGATGTGTATTTAAGTATATAGAAAAAACTATCTACTAAAAAGCTTTTATAATTTAGAATGGAGCAAATGCATGGTTTAAAACTTAAAATATGTGGTTAGTGGAGAAATTGAGAGGAGAACCAAGCACATATACTAGTGATTTCTTGTGTGAAACTCCATATCAATATGGTATAAAAGTTTCATTTTTTCGTTCCACCGTAGTAACCTTTTTTCAAAACATGTCCACATTTTGTACTGCCAAAATTTAGCATCTGGCGTGAGCACACAGCGACACGCCAACGCACGGGGAGTCCGCACGCGCACCAAACCTCCTCCCATGCCCGAAGTCCGATCCCCTCCCCTTCCGCTCCGCTTCCCAGTTCCCCCACTCCCCAACTCCACCGCGCTTCAGTCTCCTCCGCGTCTCGCCGCTTTCCCCTCCGCCCGGGCGCCGCGGCCCCTCCCGATCCCGTGGACGTCCTCGCGTCGCAGGCGGCGGGCTGCACGACAGGTGAGCTCCTCCCACGCGCCCCCTCTCTCTAGTCCCTGTCTCTGTCAGTCGGTGCCCAGTTCCTCGACCAGCCGCAGTCTGTCGGCGCTACTCGCCTTCCCTTTGCCTTCGCTCCCGTAGTCCCCTCCCAGCGCGCTTCTAGGACCGCGTACCGTCGCGATTGCCTCGCGGTGAGAGTGGGAGTGTGGGACAATTCTCGGCGCTTATCAGCGCATGATGCAGCTGTGCTCGCAGATGCCAGTGCTCTCAGCAAGTGCTTCGCGCCACTCATAGCAGGCTAGCACCTTTTAGTTCCCTTGAGAAGCTGTAAGGATCTAGCGGCCTCATCTTGAGCACAATGTATTTCCGGTCCAGTGGCTTCATTCCTGGCTCGCCCAAAAGAAAGAGAATGTGTACTCTATACAAAAATTAAGCGTGGCATTTTGGGTTACAGCTGTGCCTCCTAGTCTCTCTATCTTTCTTTCAGTTAGTATTCATGCACCAACCTGCCACGGGTAGTAGAATGCACTCATGAATTGATGCAGTAGTTGAATTTTGGGCGCATAGCACGAAATCCGTAATGCAGTTATGAGCTCTGCACGATTACAACTTACAGATCCATGGTATTGTTCCTGTAACTAGGAAACTGAATAAAAGAAGTCTGTATGGTAATTTTGTCTCCTGATTGGTTTTGTAGGTAAGTTTTTTGTCCCCTTCTCAACGCAGTAATCAAAAGGTGATTCCTTTGTGTTCGTTGACTGCAGCTTAGGGAATGTTTTACCTGTATTGTTCATGGTAAACTCAGAGTTTCCATCTACTACCTGGAAACGTGAACTTGTTTCAGTTCCATCTTTAGTGTCAACCAATTTCTTGTACAGAGGGACAACATAACTATTCCGAAGGTATTTCCTGAAAACCTTATTTCATTGTCATTTGGATAGTCGCCATTATGATCACATCTTAGATGTGGAAGCTACAGAACTTGTTCTATGTGATTGTTTAGTTGTATTCTGATACTTTGCATTTGTACCTTTTCCAGTGAATTATGGGTGAGTTCTGCTGCTGCCTCAGTACTGAAGATTTTGAGGAATATGTCTATCCAAACAACCCTATCTATAGGCAATGCATATCCTTGAGGCATTTTTTCCACAACATTTTTGGCGGGGTAATATGAACTTTTATCCATATTTTCAAGTATACTCTAGGATCTAACCAACTGATCCAAAATGTCACATGGTACATTGATTGATATGTGGATTTTTGATACTTCTGACTCAATGCAACTGCTGCCAGTAGCATGTTCATGTGATTTAGTTCTAACTGGTGGGGATTTAGATACTCACCGCTAGTTTTCTTTTTCTTTTTTTTTCAAAATGGTACATTTTTCTGTTTTCTGTCAAGAAATATCCTTTTTGACCGTATGATGTTACAAACTGAAGAGTACTTTATTCCTCTTTTAGAGTATTAGATACAGCGCTAAAAGGAAACGGAGTCATAGTGAACATTCTGTAGTACTATGAAACACAAAACAGCAAAGCTTGTTGAGACAATGTAAACATGGATGAGCAAGGGTAGGCACATTTGACATGGCTAGGTTGACCTGCTGGTGTTCTTTTACAAGTTCTATTGTAGAGAAATTATGTTGTGCATCTTAATGGCACTTCCATAGTATTTTCTATGTCCATTTTCTTATGTAAGGTAGTATTTTCTATGTCCATTTTCATATGTAAGGTTTCTTCTAACTACAGTGTTTCCTTCTATGTAGTATACTGCAACATTCCAAAGGCTCGAATCTAGGCCAAACAACCCAGCCCAAGGGGTTGCTCCACTGGGATCCACTAATCCAAGTGTCAACATAAATGACAATTCACTCTCTGAAACTTATCACTTTGTTTCTAGACCACCTCCATATGATACTGATCCTAGATATGCCCGTGTTCAAAGAGAGGGATTAGTCTCCAGGCGTGAGAAATCCATAAATCTTGCACAAGAAGAGTCACTAGCCCTTAGACGAAATGGCAGCAGCTCTGGTATTGAGCATTTAGCTGCTCAGAAGAAACGCAGCAGCACTGAAAATGAGGGTGAATATAAGGTCCATCGTTCTGAATCAACTAAGAGTTTGTCTGCAAAAGCTTATAGTAGCAGCTATGCAGTTGTCGCTTCAGAAGATGAGGATATCTGCCCTACTTGTCTGGAAGGTTTGTGTTCAAATAGATTTACCTAAGCAAATAGCAGTTTATCTTGGTGTCTCAATATTTTTTCAACAATTCATTATTATTAATTCACTGTGTAGAATACACGCCAGACAATCCAAAAATTATAACCAAGTGCTGTCACCATTTTCATCTTGGTTGTATTTATGAATGGATGGAGAGAAGTGATACATGCCCAATTTGTGGAAAGGTATGATACTGATGGTTCTGCACTCTTCTAGTTTTCACATCTCAGGCAGAGATCATAATCACTAATCACATATCATCAGTTCTTAAGGTGTAATTTTATTTGTTGAGCTGACAATTTCTCCTCCAACCTGATTACACTGCAGGAAATGGAGTTTTGCGAGAGCCCGTGATAGCCTTTTGATTTACATGATCTCACATCGGAGCAAGGGAAAGGGTCTACAGACTATACAGTATGGGATGCTGGAGAATTGTAAATAATAGTTATTCCTTATGCGATGTCCAAATAGATCTCTTTCTCGAGATCAGTTTCTTACATGTACTGAAATGATTATCTTACTAAAATTCATGCTAGAATTTGCTTGCCCATTCATTGTTATATTTGCAAATGGATGCTCATGGATTGAAGCACAGATATAACCTGATCATAGTGATTGTTTGTTGGTTGCTGTAGCCGATCTCATGATGAATCTTTTACCAAAGCGCGTAGAAGTGCTATGAGCATCCTATTGCAAGCCATCAAGAACAGATTATCGCATAGTGCATATAAATGCAATAGCAAACCATGAGCTTAAGTTCAGTTCAAAGTGGCAACTATGAACCATCAGGCCTCATCAAATATTCACCAGCCACATATAATGTTTTGGGTAAAATAGAATTTGCATTTCCCAGATGAACATTCCATAAAACAAAGAGGACGCATACAGACTAAAATAACTTGCTCAAAATTATTTATGGGATACCCGCATAGCAGTTACAAGCTATGAACATTGGTTACACAATGACGTCCAGGCAAGCCTAAAATACAAAGCCGATTCAGAAAATTGAGAGCAAAGGTACATAACATCGTAAAAATTAAGAGAGCCAGCAAGCTAGCATTTTATTTAGTAAAATCGTTCACCCGCCGGTACCCAACCATTTCATTTCTACACACTTGCCGTCTTGAGGCTGTTGCCCTTCTCTTGCAGGCTCACAAGTAGGCTGTCAAAGCTCTTCTTAAAGGAGTCCACGCCTTCAAGCTCAAGCTGCTTTCCGACCTCGTCCCAGTCAATGCCAAGCTTCTCCAAGGCGCTGTATACACCTTCCGACTCAGACACATTAGCATCAACTGTCCTTGAAACAGTGCCATGGTCTATGAATGCCTGCAAAGCTTGGTCGGGCATCGTGTTGACCTGAAAGAGAATCACTCCAGAGTTATTGTTGTGATGATAAGAAACAATGTCGATTCAAGTGGGAAACTCGTCGTGAAAACATACCGTGTCAGGTCCAATGAGACTGTCCACATAAAGAGTGTCAGGATAAGCTGGGTTCTTGACACCGGTGGATGCCCACAACAACCTCTGTTTCTTGGCACCTTTCTTGGCCAACGCCTCCCACCTTGGGCCAGAGAATTTCTTCTGGTAGAGCTGATTTGCTAGTTTGGCCTGTGCTACGGCAGCCTGTCATAATAAAGGATGGTCATATTGCATAACTTTGTGAACAGTTTAAAAGTTCTAGCATTAAGAGGCAGTTAATTATAGTTTTATTTACCTTTCCTCTCAAGGCAAGTGCCTCAGGTGTTCCAATCTTCTCGAGCATTTTGTCAATAAGGGTGTCGACTCGGCTAACAAAGAAGGATGCAACACTGGTAACTCGGGATAAGTCACTCAAACCAGAAGCCTCTAGCCCATCAAGGTAAGCATCAATCACAGCCTCATATCTCACAATAGAGAAAATAAGCTGCAGTGACAGAAACGAATTTGTGATCAATAAGCTTATCACAGCAGTTACACTATAGATTTTTACCACAATCATATGAAAGCAGGGGCAAGGCAGTGCTCAGCAATTACCGTGACGTTGACGCTAATGCCATTAGCGATAACTTCCTGGATGGAAGGAACACATTCCGCAGTAGCAGGGATCTTTATGTAGACATTGGGGCAGTTGACCACTTTGTGCAACCACTTTGCTGCTTCAACAGTTCCTTGGGTGTCATTTGCCAACCTAGGAGACACCTCCACGGAGACATACCCATCAGCCCCATTGGTCTCGTTGTAGATAGGCTCAAAAAGTTTGCACGCGTCTTGAATATCCTTTATAACGAGTTCCCAGTAAGCGCTCTCCGCGTCCTTTCCACCCGAAATGAGCTGCTTGAACTGATCATCATATGCGCTGGACGATGAAATAGCCTTTTGGAAAATCTGCATCGTGTTGAGAACATGGTCAGGAGTGAATGCACAACTATGCAAGCGATCAATCGACCATACAATGCAAAGCAAAAGCTGGAAATGGAGGATTACCGTAGGGTTGCTGGTGACTCCACGAACACCGCTGGCGATAAGGGGCAGCAAGTCGGTGACAGGGCGGCAGAGGTTGTCGTACCACGGGGACAGGCCCTGGAGCTCGTAGAGATCATGAAGCGCGGTCTTCTTGGTCGGAGCACCATTTCCTTCCTTGGCAGAAGCCATCGCACTGGAAATTGCAATTCAACGAGTAAGGTCATGTCCACAGGTTAGTTGGACTGCAAAAGAGTGGTGTGCACAAAGGCATTCATATTATCCCTCTTGAAACAAGGGTGGTGTATGCAGCTAGAATTCTTTCGACGGGTGGTGTATGCAGCTAGAATTCTTTCGACCATAATGGAAACCGTCGGTGCTTTTGGCAGCGTGTGTGCTGCTGCTGCTATCAAGAGGTCTACTACAGCAGCAGCGAGTCAGCGACACGGGAGGAGGAAGCTCCGGGCACGGCAGTCACGGCAACCCCCACCTCCACACGGATCTCGCACCCGCACGGCGAGTGGTCCGAGTGGAGATGCTGGTATGCCAGAAGGCTCCAACCCGTCCATTTCCCAATCGAACGGCCGCAGAAACGTACAGGAGGAGGCTCCATCCAGGACCAGATCGCGGGGTCCGTCCCTAGCCACGTCAGGCCAGGCGGCGTGGTGGGCTACGCTCCAAATCGACGCGGCAGAACACCAGCCCGCGATTCTAGCCTAAGATGCCATCGATCTCCTACCCGAAGAATCGAAAGCACGCAAGGAACGGACAACTCGAATCTAATTTATCAAACCTCGCGAGAATTAACCACCCACTGACTCAAGCATGGGCACGGATGCGAAGGCCAGTCTAGCCAACCAGAGCGAATCCAATTCCACAGATGAGATAGAGCGCGCGGGCGCGGAAGAGGAGAGGGGGAAGGAAGTGGGGGAGGGTGGAGTCAGAGTCACGCACATGATGGGGCTCCTGGCTCGCCCGGCGACGGAGACGCTGACCCGGCGCGGGGAGGGGGCGAAGGCGAGGGCGGCGGTGCGGAGGGACGCCGGCCGGAGCGGCGCCGCCGCCGGCCGTGGCGCAGCTAGCTTGGACACCGTGCCGGTCATCGCCGCTCGTCGGGGTTGTTGGTGGGAAGTGCGAGGAAGAGCAGATGGGATGGGTTGGTTGGCCGGTCGCTCAGGGGGGTTGTTGCGAGGTTTTGCTGTTCGTCAGCATCCATAAGTAGCAGACGCCTCCGTGTGTTTCCGCCCGCCGCTTTTACACGGACAACCCTGCTCGATGTTTATTTTCGTCCAAACACAAAGACGCAGCTGACTTCTATTCTCTCTCGCGAATTACACGACGTAGACGCTCATGTATATTTACTCTCTATATAAACATAGATACACGCACGTATAAACGGGGGCGGAGCTACAGCAAATTTGAGAGGATGTGCTTGCATGAGTGTAAGGTCTATCGACATGAAGATGTAATATACGGTCAAAATTCAGCTCTTATCACTGTTTTTTAATTTTCGTGTGGGTGTGGCTGCACTCAACACAATGGCTCCGTTCGCTGGTCTAAAACTTGGCTGAAAAATACTATTCCGACTGGTTTGTTGTGAGAGAAAAACACTATTTGGCTGGTTTGATAAACAGTAACGTGAGAGGGAATCCAACCGGCTGGCTGGTCTGATTCATACCAGCGAACGCAGCCAATGAACGTAGATCCGCCCCTGCATACAAACTCTAACAAGTATCTTCGAAAGACTGAGCTGGCATTGATTGACGAAGTTCTCTTCTAAATTGCATAGTAACACTCAGAAACACATACTTAGCGCGTGTTCAGTTCCACCCAAAATCCCAAAAAGTGCAACAGTACCTGTCATATCGAATGTTTACGGTCTATGCATGGAGCATTAAATGTAGACGAAAAAAAACTAATTGCACAGTTTGGTGGGAAATTACGAGACGAACGTTTTGAGTCTAATTAGTCCATGTTTGAACACTAATTGCCAAATAAAAACGAACGTGCTACAGTAGCCATAAATTCCAAATTCCTGGAACTAAACACGCGCTTATATTTACTCCTTATGAACACACACGTCTCCCAAAGAAAAAATAACACTGGTAGATCATGAAAAAAAATCCAAAAAAAAACAAACAACCGTTCCAAGTTGACTACTTAGAATCGAATAGGTAGAATACACCAAAAGAAAACTAACCATCTAGATTACGCTCTGTTCACCTCTTTGGTCTTCCCATTGCTTCCTCCTCCACTATCTGGCGTAGTCAGCGCTTATTTAGATCTTTATAGGCTAATTTTACAAAGTTTAGCTCAAGTGCATCTAATATAAACAGAATGGGCTAACAGTAGATTAGTCGTGAATAGGTATTAGCCTAGTATAACTAGCTAAAAAGAGCTAATAGTTTATTACTAGAGATGTATGCATCTATTATTCGATATCTAAATATGTCTGGCCTAATTTTTAGGTTCGACTAATGTAACACCATCGTACTGTTTTTGCTAAAACACTGCATGAGCATCTTACTTGTACGTGAATGTGTATGATCTAGGGTATAAATCGATTTTTGAAAATTGAAACGTTTATTTGAAACGTGAACCGAATGTGTGTGATCTAGGAAGTAAACCGAATGCATCACTGCCGCCGCCGCGTCTGCTTGCGTGTTCGGCTCGTCCGAACAAATGTCGCCACTCTCCCGAGCGCTCACGCGCACCGCCTGCACGGCCTTCACTGCTCCCGTTGACGCAGCGCAGCTGCACACACGTGGGACGACTGCCTCACTGCGCCTTCACGGCCGTGTCCGCTGCCACGCTCAGCGCCGAGCCTAACTTCCCTGTTTCACAGTCGCCGTGTCGCGGAGCTTCGGTCGCGCGCCGGAATGCCGAACTCGTGCGCACGTCTGAGGGTCGCAATGATG